ATGTGAATACTATAAGCATGGCACACTGTCTATTTCTAATGACACTTTTGGTAGAAGGTGGCCATTTTGAAAAATGGCCGCCATTTTAACGTATTTTACTATAACTCAAAAAGTAGTAGAGCGATTTTGTTCATATTTGATATGTGAATACTTTAAGCATGGCACATTGTCTAATAAAACTTTGGGGAGTAGTCGGCCATTTTGAAAAATGGCCACCATTTTTATGTGTGTTATTTTACAAGTACGTGTGTAATTTTTCAAAAATTTTAGAGGTACCTACTTAAAAGCATATTATTTCTCCTAATGACAACTTGGCTAGTGAGCAACCATTTTGAAAATGTGTTGTTTTATGATATTTGCTATTCGTTTGTAAAAATGCCAGCTATTTCTGTTCGATGGGATTCGCTACGCTTTGGCGTTGCCGTTGTTCTGGTTATATTACTAGATGACATAGACAATGACTTTATTTTTTAAATCATTTTAAAAAGGGATGTTGTGATTGGAAAGCATAATCAAGATACCCTGAACGAAAAAGCCCCAAATCCCCCGCTTTATGTGCCAACTTTACGATTGTGCTGACTGGTCAAATTATTTAAGTATATGATATGGTATTGTTGATTTATTGATAAGAACGTGACATTGACTTTCATATTGTATTCGTCATCTTTTTCATCTTTGATCTCAGTGATGTCATATCTTATCATCAGTGATGTCATGTCTTATCAACAGTGATGTCATATGTTCATCAAGGTCATACCTTATTATTATTTTTTCATATGTTGACATTTGTGATGTCAAAATAGGGATTTCAGATTAACTGGTATTTGAAATATTGACCAGTTGCCTTTTTTCCATGAGGTTCTGAAATACTAATGCCTCGCTCGGTCACATTTGATCTACGACAGCTATAGTTTTCAAAAATCGAGATAAACAGATGTAGATTTTCTATATTGATTTTGTGAAGCTCGGCCATCATAGAACAAATCAGACTTATAGCAAAACTAAACTGGCTCTCGGCCTCTGTGAAAACACTTGTGTCTTCTACCCCAATGTCAAGTCGCTGATGTTTAATCTTGTGATCCTGGTACCATATTTTTTGTTTGTTACTTTGATACAATTAAACTTGTTTTTACAAAAATACAATCGTTACTGGTAAATATTGTCATCGGGTATGTCATATTTTGTCGTCATTGATGTTGCATCTTGTCATCATTGATGTCATATGTTGTCATCCTTGATATAATATCTTGTCATCCTTGATGTCATATCTTGCTTTCATTGATGTTGTCTTAAAGCATCACACGTGTTATATCTTGTCATTACTGATGGCATATCTTGTCATCATTCATGTGATATGTGGACAAAATATGTAGTATATGACTATATGTACCCTTTGCATTTGTTCCACTTCACGAGCTTCGTCTTCACTCTTTCAGTTTACAATAAACCTCTGAACTCACCGAGCCATTCAGAGTTCGTCATCGAAATACAGACGACTTTCTATATATGGTCATTTTCTCTGACATAATCGTAGAGTTAATGAGCTCGCAATTATCACATATTCCTTCCAGTTCGCTGATTGGTTGAGAGAAGGTCAGCGTGGTAGGTTTGAAATGATTCATGAGTATGACCCGGGATGTCACAGGCACCAGTCCTCAGGGTGGGGCTGTCAAACTAATATAGTCTATGCTAGGCAGAGGGTAGTTTATAACTAGACTCTGCGGGCATGGTACAGAATATGCTAATTTTCAACAAAATACTGATTTCTTCAGATCACTCTGCATAGTTTCAAATATGAACTTCACGATGCAGAATATCTGTGTTTGCTAGTTGAATGAGTGAACTACATGACAGTAAAACCTGTATATATCTGAACACCTCTATTATCCAAACACCTCTCAATTAATGTACACTTTCTCTCAGTCTCAATTTTATAATGTCCCGTTGACTCCATGTTAAAAATAAAAATGTCACCACCTGGTGTTCATTCGCCAGTCTTAAAGGTGTTTGGATTAGACAGGTTTTATGTACTGTATATCAGTTAAGCATATTATATCTAGAGTGACAGGCTAGGTTAACCGATTTCTCAATTTTCTGGGTGTTCACATTTAATGCTTTTCTTTCTTATATTTGAAAGAACTGTCTCATTTTATTACATTTTGATGCAATTTAGAGTGTTGACCACACGCCTGTTTATTATTTGATTTCTTGCTGATTTCATGATTTTTCATGTTGTTTTTCATTCTAAATAAACGAGCATTGTGGCATTTTTTATGTTCAGTTTGAACTCTAATTGACTTGGGACACACGGTGACCTAATAAGTCAAAATAAGATAAATATAGAAATGTGTTGGTTAAAATTTCCTAATCACAGATATTGAACTATTGAATTAGATCATCAATTGAAATGTTCTTATCAATCTATAGGTTTTGAACTTTAAAGATCAAGGTCTGCTAAAAATTATGGGAAATTCAGGTTCGCAGTCAGATCCCCCTCTTGGCCATTATTATGGGGCCAGTAAACTATGCAGTGATCTCCCTACTTTTTGGGCAAATCTTTGGTGTATTTTAATTTTTCTGACATTTTTCACTTTTTGGTTGATATGAATTGAAGTAATTGTTTGAGAGTGGCGCAAAACTTTGAGGTAGATGCATGGTAGGCGCAGTGTTCAGTTGAAATGGGTGCTGCGCCTCTTCAGAAGATGCTTGGGAGAACATAGCTACTAGATGCCACCATTTGACAAAATTACAGCAAAAAATCTGCATGAGCATATCATAGAATAACCCTCTAGCGCACTCTGATCCAATATACATGAATCCATATCTGATTTTTTTAGAAATGCCTGACGCAACTTAGTAGCTCTCACCTTGTTAAAAGGCAGTTATAGCTCTGAAAGTAATATTTTTAGAACTCGATTTGTTCTAATAAAGTCCCCAGAGTTCATTTTAAAATATCAAAAGACTGTAAGAGAAAATGTTGGAGTAAAAGCAATTTCATGCAAATAACAAGGATACTTTTTTGGTATATTTCAGTAGATACTTTGAGAGTTCAAAGTCAACAATATGGAAAAGCTTACGTTAATTTTCCAAGGAGAGGGGGTAGGGGGTTAATAGTGATCTCATTAGTGAAGAATTCATATTTCATTTGATAATTGGGTAGGTAGATAGAATGAACTCCTTTTGTATTTTGCTTTTTTCAACATTCTTTATTGTCATTGTTTGGTGCTGATGGGAATGAATGTTGATGGGTGGGTGGTAGCCACATAAATCTTGTCATCAAAATTTTAGAAAAATTGCTTGAAATATTGGGAGATGCTAGAGCAGACTAAAGGCCAAGATCTATATTAGATTTTGGACAAGCTGAATAAGTTACTTGGTGGACATTTTGAATTTTTTAATAAAGAGTGAAATACTCATTAATTATGTGTCTTCTATTTAACTGTTGTCATATATAGACACTATCATTCCCAAAGTAGATGTTTCCTTGGTATTACTATATTTTTATCTATCTTTAGTCTAAATTAAAAGTAAGATTTTTAAATATTTATTCCCAAGACATTGTATATATAGATTTAATGAGAAAGTAGGTCATACATACATAATCATAATTGTGTCATCTGCATATGTGTTATGTTGTTACATGTATATCTAGGCCTAAAATTCAAGATCTACGTAGGTTGATGGCCAGATGGCTTAAAAAGTTCGGTCATGATGTTCTAACATTACTGACCATAATTCATACAGTTTAGTATTTCTTATAATTATTCACTGATGCTGGGATTTCATACAAGTATGTTAAAGGTACAGATGCACATATTATATTTGATCATTTTTGACCAATTTGACTAATTGGGCAATACATAAATTTTTTTTAGATTGCATGGTTTAATATTGAGTGCTCTGCATTGAAAAGGTTCAGTCAAGAAAACTTCATATTTCAGGGAAAAATGTTTTGCTCATAATTATTAGTTTTCTTAAAAAAGGAATAATAACTTTTTGCCAATTGGCTATTGAACTTTGCAAGTGCATTCACTGCATTTTTTCTAAATGGCATCTGAACTTGTGATTCTTGCTCATATCTTCTTAGACTTTAAGCACATTAGGATTAAAGTACATCCTAAAGGTAAGAAATTACACCTGTAAGTAAAAGATTTGTCAAAATAGGAACCTGATTTGAAATTTCTGCTGTACTCTAAGTTGCAGATATTTTGTATAAGATATTGAAATACTACTACCTGAGTTGATATTTTTATTATAAAATGCAATCTTGATGATTTTCAATCAAATTTCCAAATTGATGATGGAAGGAACAGTTTACATTTAACAGTTCAATGGAAATATGCCAGAGTATTGTGCGTAAATTGTCTTAAATTACAAAATGATGCTGGGGTGAAACTACGCACTTTCTTCACTTGTGAGTATCTGATGAACTTAAGGTCGTAGCGACCATGTTTTAAAGTGATAATTGTGTGGAATTTAGTGGAATCAGCAAGGAATAAAGTAAACAGGAATATTGTTCACTCTCTAAGTTGTATGTACATGTTAATGCCAAGAAATTAGATATTTGGTTTGGATTCTAGTGATCCAAAGATGAAGATGTAAGAAATTTTAAGCATCGGATGTTTTGAAAGGTGATGTCACTTGATCTAAAAATGTGTGTTCCAGTTGAACTTGAAATTTAATGATTGCACTCTACAGGATGTTCTTAAAGGAGCAACGTTGTAGAAAAATGTACAGTATAAAGGAGTGCCAAAGACATTTGAGAATGTGAATTATTTTATTGAAAAAACTCATGATAAATCCCCAAAGCCAGCATTTGGCATCAGTATTATTTGATAATTGTTGATTTTTTTATTTGTTTAAAATTGCATTCTGACAAGAGACTTTATATTTTTATTAAATAATGATATGAATCATCATGTTATGAAAGCAATATATTTATTTTATATATTTCATTTATTTTCATATTTGTTTCTAAAGTGTAACTCTTGTATTTTCAGTGTCTCGGTTACATTGTGAGAGTGAGTCATTTAAAATGGACCTGATCCTTGATGTTAACACTCAGATTTACCCTGTGGACCTAGGTAAGTTACTTTAGCAACTATAGGTCTTGAGTTAGCATAGCAACCATATTAACCTAGGTATTTTTCATCTAAAGTTAGGTAATTTTTTCCCTAAAATGACCACATCAACTAAATTCTCTGCCCCTGGACTTGCATGTAGATGTGATACCATGTAACCAAAGCACCCATGCTGGTGAAATGGACTTCTACAGCAACCAAACTTTAGACTTCCAAAGAGAGAATTCTAAGAGAACTACATTTAAAGTTAAAGTATGAAATGAGTTTGCTGGCTTCATTAGAACATTATTAACACAGACTTTGAGATACTTAAAACTGTGTGGAGACAAAACAGTGAAACAACAGATTTCCTCTGCCTACCTGATAAATTACTATTATCTTTATGTACAACAGTTTGGAACTTTTGGAGTATTGTTACTTTGGAATATTGTAACTTTGGAATATTGTAACTTTGGAATATTATAACTTTGGAATATTATAACTTTGGAATATTGTAACTTTGTTAGTTAATTTAAAACACAGAATGAAATCCTGTGCTAAGGGCTGATGTGAAAAAGTCAGTCCACCCCAGTGGGGATCGAATATTTTTTGGAATATTATTACTTCATTTATGTGTATATGGTGACTTTTGTTGCATTAAAACTGTGTGACCTGATATTTGATTTGAGTCCCCCTGGCCTTCATGAGTGAGTGGGGGGGGGGGGGTGGCAGGGTTCAGAGATATTAGAAATGTTGTTCACCTCATTTTTGGATATGTATCTTATACCTTTAGTTTGAAGAAGTAGACCTTTTCTCAAGACCCAAATTTTTGTACAATCTAGCTGATGGCATTTTGTCATTATTGGTATATAGGAAAAATAACATTGCGACCGGTCTGTAATGTCGTTTTGACCAGCTGGTTTCTAAGCCTTTCTGAATGTGAATCCCATCAGGCCTGAATTTTAAATTCATCATATTGATTTCAAGCATGTACAGTTAAACCTGTCATCATGACCACCCAAAAATATTTGGATAAGCATGTTTTTTTTACTTTGTGAGTCTATGGAAAATCACAAAATTGGGACCGAAAATTGAGAAAAAGTGTTCACATTGAGAGGTTTGTAGTTTACAAATATTCTTGTTATTTAATTCCTCGTAAATTCTTTTCCATACATCATTAGAAAATAAATTTAGTAGTCATTAAATGAATACACTTTTTACTGCACCCAGTTATTAAGCACACTGCAACCAGTTGAAAATTCATTTACACCTTGTTGAGCTCTAGAAAATTGGGAGTTTAATTATGTTCAGCTTGCAACAGGCCATTTTCTCTGTTTTTCATTTGCCAAAAACTCCTATTGTTTTGAAGAAAGGTTCCCAAATTGAAATTATCATTTTTGTGTCTCCATCATCAGTAGTGGCACATTGTTTCAGTTTCCAACTTTTTTTGTGGATGTCAGTTGGTGTTCAGCAGTCTGCTTCTGTAACGGGTGTCTGTAAAATGGTATTTGTAACTAATGGCAGGTGTTGACATTTTGCATGTTAATGCCTTGTAATAATTTTGGCCTTTGTCAGTAATCCTGATGAATCTTCTGAATCATGAGTAGAGAGTTCAAAAATTGAAGAAATACTCTGAAAAATAACAACATATTAAGAAATGCTTCTGCCAGAATTGGCAATATATAATGATGTTGCAATGTGTAGACGAAATACTGTCTGTACTTAATTAAGGTGGAAGAACTTGCTACTTCTTGCTTAGTCACACATTTTGAAATTATCGCTCATCACGAGTCATCTCCAAGGTTAATTGATAACTGTTTAGAATAATTAGACTCAACAAAGTTTGATATTTTTTTACAATTTGAAATTTCATAGAAAGATTCAATGCAAAATATATGAATTTGAGGTGACATTCATGATTGTATTCATAATTTGCACTTCGCACATGCACAAAATGCATGAATCTTAGATATTTAAAATGTGAAAAACTTTTAATTAGTTCAAAAGATGGCAGCACGTGTTATTTAATATCTCCAATTTTATATCAAGGTGTGTTCTTTGAAACTCTGGAGCGTTGGACCTTTGGATCTTGTGGTTTAGTGAAGGATGTAGTCACTCCATTTGTTATCTTGGAAACCATTTGAATAATATCCTCCTCTATTACCTTTTCATGATCATTTATCATGTACATGTCTGTTGATTCATTACAAACAGGCTGGCCCTGAATGTGAATAATGAGCAATATACATCCTGCTTTTTGTCTCCTTAGTCACCCAACTACAACCAAGGGGGCATTTCGTGTTCATAGGGCAGTGTATGCTCTGTTGATTTTCAGGGTCTTATGGAAGGTGAAAGTTCAAAGCAGGATCTGCCCTAATTAGGGATGGACCAAAAGTATTCTGACGTTTTTTCTCAAGTTAAAAAAGAAAATTCAATGTAATCTGTCAAATGAAGTACCTCAACACCTTATAACATAAAAAGCAGTTTTGTTTTGGTTTCTTAAGAGCTATATCAGATTCTCAGAAAATAAATATAGCAAACATGATTCTCTTTAGCATTATTGTTAAAAGTGGTGCCAATTGAGTGCTTAGTGATGTAACCCAGATATATTGAAATTATACTCTACTATATGTCACACCCTAATGTCAAGTTATCTTTAGATATCAGGTTATTTTTTACCTATGCATTCCAGGCATTTTACCAAGGTTAGACTTTGACCAAAACTATTTCTTTGTGTAATGACTCGAAATTACATGCCCCTCATCGTAAACAAGTTAAACTGGGGGTAGGTTCCAAAAAACTTGAAAAACATTCATTCCATAGAAGTAATAACATTTGAGCGATTTTTAGGGGCAGTTTATTTGACAGGACATAATTAATGTTTAATTTTTGAGAATTGTGATTTATTTTAACATTTAGTTAATCATCACAGAATCTGAAAATTCAAACAGATATTAGTACTTTTCATATTTGTATAAGATATCAAAAGGACCGTTGCAAAAGTAGATATGTAAGTGCATTTTGAAACTTTAATTTTGAAAATGATTTCCTATCGTCATGTACTCAACCTTGACATTGTTGATGACATTTTTCTGAAAATGCTAATGACTGTTAATTTGAAAAAAAAAAACGACAAAATATAAAAAGTGCACATGTACTTAAGGAAATCTTGGAAATTAGAACCATTTTGGAAATGTTTGATACAGATATTTTGATTTCACCCCTCGAGTAATAGTAGAGTAGAGAAAGCACGTGGCAGTTCTGAAGTGGGTTCATTCATAAAGCCAGCAAGGTAAATGAAGGTGCAGATGCAAGAATCATTTTACGATGGTCATTTTTAAAATGGAAAATAGAGTGGAAAAGAGAGGAATTCGCAAGGAATAAAGTAAACAGACATGTAGTTAACACTCTAAATTATATAGAAATGCAAGAAAATTCATCAGTTCATTCAAATTTTAGAGAGAAATGTAGAATAATATGGATGACCGGGGAAAATTTCAACACAGATTTGAAAATGTAAATAAAAAAATGCAAATAGACTTGAACTTCCCAGAACTGAAGAATTTCTTCATTCATTATTGGTAATTGGTAACTTTCATTTTGAGCTGAGTTACTAATTTAGTTTGGCTATCAATTACAAAAATTGTTTATACGTGTGATGTGAGGTAAGTCAAATTGCTTTCATTTTAATCTTTGCAAATTCAAAAATACTTTTTAAGTCGTAATTTATAACTCATTTATCCGTTAATTGTAAGTTTTAATTTATTACTCATTTATCCGTTAAGTGAATAAAAAACATATTGCAAAAATGATTTGCAAAATTTGTTTCCTTACCAGACGTCACATGCAGGGCCTTAGCTAATCATTTCATATCCTTAAGTCTGGATATTAATTTAGAACAAAAGATCACTGAAAGAATGGCTTCTAAGCATGTTTTGTAACAAACTAATTTGACCCAGTGTAACAATAGATAAAAAGTCTCGAAACAGAAACTTGCATTTCATACAGTACTAATTCAAAATTTGTCATATGCAAAATAACTGTTAAATAACTTAGAAATAGCTGAATCAAACAAGTTTTTTCTCTATTTCTGATTTTGCTTAATTTTATAAATTGAACACATATTAATGAATAGAGAGCATCATATTGAAAAGGGCAGATCATAATTAGTCTACTGAATATTCATACACACGATTATTGGTCCTTTTTGTTTGCTCTGCTATGTTACTTACCGGAGGTAGCCACCTGGTGGTGAAATTTTGGACATCTAGGCACGTTGGAATTAAGGAACAAGAATTATCCATTATCATAAGGATTCCTATAAATTATTGATTCGGTTATTTTTCGATGGTTTATAGAGTGACATACAGTGTCGAATCCACCTTTTTCTTATAATGATACATGTAATTCTTTGCATGGAGAGTCAACGTGATATTATTGTTCAACTGTAATGGCCGACTTGTCGACTTTTAGAGGAAGTCTAATCTGTTAAGTTTAATATTTGTAATCGAAGGACAAAAGTGCAAATTATTTAAATGAATTTTATAGAATAGACTTGAATAATGCCATTGATTATTGGGATCAAGTTATTTACCATGGAATCTAAATGTTACATGATTTTTTTTATTTCATAGAAATCATTTGTATTGAGAAAAATGTCATTGAAGAACATAAAATGTTTTTTTATATGGTTTATATAGATTAAGGAGCGACTTGAATGGTTTTGTAAATATTTTAAGTATACCACAATTAATGCTTTTGTGGGAAATAAAAAATGTGCAGTTGTTTCAAGATCATGGTGAAAAGCGGTATCTGTATATTTGAGTATTTTGTGGCTGATCTTGTAAATGTGGTTTTTCGCCACATTCTCAAGAAATGTAGAATTAACATAATTATATTTGTCATAGATACTCACCATCATAATTATGCGGTGAAAGATCTATTCTATGTGAACAAATATCAATTTGAATAACATTTGATTTCAATAAAGTTATTTTTGCTCTTTTTGTTCACTGTAGGAACTGAAAAAGGAAGAAAATTTGTATCTACGTTTGAATTCTTCGTTTTTCATAAAAATCTGATTAAATATCACAATGGTATCTTCATTGTTAACTTTTAATTCTAAAAAATTATTCCCGAGTTTTGATACTTTCTTTGAATTGAAATCTGGAATTCAGAAATGAGCTGAGAATTTTCTAAATAAATATAACATTTTCAATATGCCTCCTAAAAGGTTATACTCAAAGAGAAGAAAATCATCAAAAATGATGCATTGAAATTTACAAAATCCTAAATTGTTGTACAAAACTTTAAGAAATACTAAAATGTTACTTAGAAAATTCAAAAGTTTTAAGAACAAAATACTTCAAACAAAAAATCCTGAGGAGACCACAGAGTTCTATTATCACTAAGTAGACCAGTTTTTTTTATGAAAAAAAAATTCTGGTCATGTTCATTTTAAATTTTTCACCTGTAAATTGTGAGAATATGACTCCTTTTTGCTATTTCTGACTTTTTTATATGACATTTAAAGTCTGTAAAAAACAAAACAGCATTCTTCGTTCCAGGAATCACAAATATCATGAAAGATCCATTTGAGATTTTAAAGATGTTATCCATGACAAGTCTGAAATATCAAATGTTGTTGATGTGGTTATCCAAAAAGGATTCAGGATATATGTGGTTGTATCATATAATGTGGTTTTTCACCACAATCTTGAAAATTCAAGTATTAACCATATGATATTGATTGAATAATATATCATGTGTTTTTTAGGGGACAAATTCCGTATGGTGATCGCAACGAGCCTACGTGAAGATGGCTATCCGGATGATGGAGAATATGACCCCAGTGATACAGGCCCATCACGTGCCGACAGTTTTGAGTATGTCATGTTCGGCAAAGTCTATAGAATCGAGGGAGATGAGGGTTTAGAAGCTTCTTCACGATTGTAAGTTACTTTTTATTTTTTTCATTCATGATACAATTTGACATTCAGCTTTTTGGTGATAAGGAGACTGAGTCTGCATTTCAGTTTCAAATTGGCAAGTGTATTTATTCGAAACTACATTCTAATTTAATTCTCCAAATATTTGAATTCAGTATGTCAGGAATTTTGAATGGCTTTTGCACTGTCAAAAAAGCTGAGTGTCATTTATGATGTCCATTTAGTTAAAGTATAATTCTATCGGAAAAGTTTCAGTGTTATGCTGGGATAATTCTTGTTTCCTCTTGTCACCAAATTTTCTAATTTTAGACCCATTTGCTTTATCTGATTTTTCAGTGTTGTCTTTATTCAACACTTTTTTGGGAAATTTGTTCTTCTTGGTCTACTCTAGAGATAATAGATAGGTTATTGAGCCTAAGTAGTGCATATATCATTCTTTTTTTACTTCACCTTTAAAATGATCCTTTCTTCAGTTCATTTTGTTTAAAGATTTTCAATCAATAATTCTCATTTCTTACAAATTTTATTTTCAAAGTTTTGACCAAAGTTCGACACACACTATGCAAATTGATCACAAATGTCTGATATTTATGTGGAGGCAGATGCATTGAATTTCTTTATTCCAGGTATTTCAGATTGTTTTATAACGATAGTAAAGGAGAATGTGTGTTACAAAATTTGAAAGTATTTAAAGCTTCGTTTTTGGTACAATTGTATCTTATGATTCTGAGAAATCCAATGTCTGTTTTCTGACGGACAATGACTTAGACCAAATCTTAGATTACAATGGTTCAAAAAATATTCCTTGAACATGTAAGGATATTGAAATTATCCAGTGTTATATATTGATTTTGAAACTATTTATCTTAACAGTAAAGGATTTTGAAATTATCCAGTGCAACAGTAAAAGATTTTGAAATTATCCAGTGTAACAGTAAAGGATTTTGAAATTATCCAGTGTAACCTTTAAGAATTTACCAAGTATAATATTAAGGATTTTAAAATTTTTCTAAACGATGAATTATTTTTGCCATTGATTCTGATGTTAAATGTACCTTAATAAACTCTGCTAGTTCCTGATGGTGTTCATCAAGGAGGAGTTTTACTTTGTATGTTCTTAACAGATGTTGGTTTCTTCAATGGAGGAAAAATGTCTAAATCAGATACAAACTTTTGAGATGTTATATAAGAAATCACTACTATTTACTATTATTATCCAACACAAATTTTAATAGGGTTGGCACTAGATACCCATATGAGGGTATATCATATATCGATAGTTGAAAATAAAGAATGGAACTTAACAACTGGAATAGAGAAAGGAAATTATATACGAGTGGGAACAATTTGTACTTAAAATCAAAACATAAGTGATAATTTAGGTTAGGACTCTGTTTAAAGTTCAAGAGTGTTACTCCAGAAAAATATTGTAAATAATGTCATGGTGGTCGTGTTTTAAAATCAGAAATAGAATGTGATGAAGTTTAAATTCAAAAATAGAGAGGTAAAGAGAGGAATTAGCAAGGAATAAAGTAGACAGGCATTTAGAGAACACTCTAAATTGTATAGAAATGCAGGAAAATCAGACACTTCATTCAAGTTTTAGAGAGAAATCAGTGTAGTAAGCTTGAGCAGGTGGGTGTTTTATTTTTGGAAGTTTTGACATTGTTATTATTAGCGTCCTCCCACGCTTCATTGTTCCAGAAGGCAAAGGGAGCTGTGTCCTATGATCTTATCATATGATTTCAAAACACATGTATTCATCATTTTACAAACTTTATTTATTACTGTTTACTAGTTTTATCCCAACAGTATTTCTTCATGCCATGTCAAACTGATGGAGGAAGAAATGTTGTGAAGCAACTGGGCGATGCACCTTGTTGAAAATCTTAAAATTTGATGTCACCCTGTTGACAATCTTAAAATTTGATGTCACCCTGTTGACAATCTTAAATGTGATGTCACCCTGTTGACAATCTTAAAATCTGATGTCACCCTGTTGACAATCTTAAAATTTGATGTCACCCTGTTGACAATCTTAAAATTTGATGTCAGCCTGTTGACAATCTTAGAATTTGATGTCACCCTGTTGACAATCTTAAACGTGATGTCACCCTGTTGACAATTTTAAAATCTGATGTCACCCTGTTGACAATCTTTAAATCTGATGTCACCCTGTTGACAATCTTAAAATTTGATGTCACACTGTTGACAATCTTAAAATGTGATGTCACCCTGTTGACAATCTTAAAATTTGATGTCAGCCTGTTGACAATCTTAAAATTTGATGTCACCCTGTTGACAATCTTAAAATTTGATGTCACCCTGTTGACAAGAATCAGTTTTGTGCTTCACCCTGTTGAATTGTTTTCCCCTTGTCAGTTTGATGAAGGATGATATATTGAGTTATTTTGACAAAAATTGGTTAAATTGAACACTTTCGTGAAAAAAACTTGAGAGATCATTGACCTGAAATATTCTCCTAAATTAAGACAAATCTTAATAGCTTCAATGTATATTTAGTCAAGTACAAATTATTAGAATGGTCAATTCAATGGAGGCATATACTGTACAGTAACATTTTAAATGTTTGGAACGACTTTGAATTTAAAAAATGAGCAATCAAATGACTATATTGCATCAGTATATGAAAAAATGGAAACATATGTACTAGTCCTAACTTTTGTATATTTCAGATAGTTATGTATAATTTTTACATATTCGGTTTCAATATGGTCCTTTAATCGCTTAGTAGTTCCAAACATTTAAAATTTTACTGTAGTTTTTGTTTTTCATTTTTCAAAGTTCAGGTTCATATTATGTTTTTTTTGTTTAGCATCATAAGGATTACGTTTGTGGGCGAAAACAAATATAAAAAAATCTGACATGTTTTGAAAAATAGTTTGTATGTCATAGAAGGTAGGATACACTTGTGTGATGAAGTGTTGTAAAATAAATCTGGTTGTTTTTGTCCTGTCAGACAATTAGTCATAGGTCAGCTCAGCATAATGACTTGCTTTATTGTCTAATAATTGGTCTTCTATGGTGTGAAACACAATGTTATGTCTGTGTATGACTTAAAATTGACACATTAATATACTATATATACTATAGGCACTGACACTCAAGGTAGCAAGTAGATATAAGATTTTTTTGATGAAATTATTTAGGTCAGCGACTCAACTATAAATATTATAGTATGTCCTGAAATATAAACATTGAAAATCAAAAATGACTTTATCAAATTCTTAATCTCAAATGTGCATATACAGGGTGGGCCAAAAAAAACCAATACCCAACTTCAAATCAGGATAAAAATAGTTGCATCCAATATGGTACATTGACTTATATATCATTTTAAAGGTTATACAATTTCAAACAATTTGGTATATAACAATATGTCATGAAATCAATAGTAAAGTTTTATTATACTTATTTGGGAGGCCGGGTTGCTATTTAAGGTCTCCAGATTTAAGGGAGAAAATAATAAATCTGCAGAATTATGTTAATTTTTTATTTATAGAATATCATTCTTTTGTTAGGTGAATACATGCTTGGATATTGATATTTGCATCATTGTGTGACTAAATTTATTGTTTATGAATTTCAGTGTTGTTTAATAACATTTTACACTTTATTTAATTAAACAATTTTAACAATTGCTCAATATACCCCTGCCCCCTCTCCTCTGCATCAAAAATAAGCTTCAAGTGGTAGCGCAATCTATCAATAGCCTTATTGAGAGATTTCTGTTACAATTCATTTCAGCACTTTAGGATTCTGTTTCAGCTCATCAATGCTGTTTATTCGATGCTTTTGATTCTACCATTTCCTCGAGATGGCTCCATGTATGGTAATCAAACACATTAGCATCGGGGCTGTTGGGTGGCCAAGCATCGAGATCAATCAAATTGGCACCTTGTTTGCAAAGAAATCCCAATGTCTCTCTTGATCTATGGTACGAGGCAATGTCTTGTTGGAAAATAAAATCCTTGTCACATATACGTTTAATGTCTTTTAACAAACCCCCTTTGAGTACTTATTGATAATAAACAACACCAAAATTCATAAACAATAAGTTTAGTCACACAATATGCAAATATACAAGCATGTATTCACCTAACAAAATGATATTCTATAAATAAAAAATTAACATTATTCCGCAGATTTACTATCTCCTCCCTAAAATCTGGATACCTTAAATACCGACCCGGCCTCCCAAATAAGCATAATAAAACTTTAATATTGATTTCATGACATAGTGTTATATACCAAATTGTTTGAAAATTGATTACCTTTAAAATGATATATAAATCAATGTATCATGTTGAACATAGCTATTTTTATTCTGATTTAAAGTTGGGTATTGGTTTTTTTTGGCCCACCCTGTATACGAGTAGTCCTCATTATTATGTCACCAAAACAAGTGGTGACATATTGTTATTATGTCACCAAAACAAGTGGTGACATATTGTTATGGTCTCCAACTTTTTGTAGATGGTGTCGGCAATCGGCTGTTGGTGTTTATTGGTCGGCTTTTTGTATGTGTAACAATTGGCAGGTGGTGACATTTTGCATGTTAATGCCTTGTTACATAACTCCCTCACACTCATTTGGTTTCTCTGGTGAAACAAAAGATGTGCCATGGCAAGTACATGTATTAGAATACAGCATCACTGATCAGGCCTGTAGCCAGCGACCCCTCCCCCCGTCCAAAAAATCTTTCAAAATCATGCAACTTTTCACCATTCTGAGCACTTATTAAGTGATTTTGGCCATTTTGGATCAAAATTGTCCCAAGTGAACCCCTCTGGAATTTTTCAAAAAGTGAACCCCTCCTTGGCAAATCCTGGCTACTTGCCTGCTGGTAGAAGACTTCCCAATAAAAGATAAATCATTACAATTCCTCTGCAATAGAAGGCATCTTTATAAGTGATAAAACTCAGTGATTCACACCAACTTTGCCTCGTCTTTGTAGGTTGACTAACTAACTCTTGTCTGGC